AATTGAAGTCATTCAAAGTGGGCGGCCATCATTTTTTGTGAGTGTTGTGAGAGCAAATATTTTCATCTCTAATCACAAAACACCACAAGAAGAATATTCTCTAGATTAATTAATTGAGCCCATTTATTTGGCCAATTAATTAATACTAAAAATAGGGATAATATCTTAAATATGGGATATTATCTTTATTTAATAAGATAATACCACCAATTAAGATATGGGAGTTTTCATTTTAAGACACTATATAGTTACTAATTTGGAATATATGGATACAATTTCACCTAATTAGCATTAGCGGTGGGCATTGAGACTGGAAATCCAAAACACCGAACCGGACCAAATAGAAAAAACCGGAAAAAAAAAACCAGTTATACTAAAAAAGTCAACAGACTGGCACTGAACAGGACCGAAAGCGGGTGAAAACCTAAAGATAATAGGGCCGACTTTTGTGGGTTGTTGTTTAGTTTTGGTTTTTATTATATTGTGCATTTACTAAAATACCCATCTAAAGAATGAAAAACAAAATTTGCTGAGCCGTTGGTTTTTTTGTTTCAGAGGTGTTTCTGTCCACTTTTTTTTGGTGAAGCCTATGACGCCAACTACTTTGCACCTCCCTTTATAATAGTAGAGATAAACAACTAAAACACGAACCCCATCAAATTTCTATTGTTATCTTGAAGTGCAATTATTAAACAGGTTCACACCCACATGAGCAAAAGACTTTTACTCACTTCTATTCTTTTTTCAATACCACCTTCCCCGCCCTCTCATATTTTACTAGCCGACCACCTCACCCACTCTCATCTTCTTGTAGCACACCACCTCCCCCACCATGTAGCCTTACAATAGTTTAATAATGTATTTTAATTTTATTTTAATACGTATCATAAGTATAGAAAATATTTTTATAGAATATTAAGGTAGTTAGGCTTTACTTTTATTATCAATGAAATAATTATTTCCACTTGAAAAGTTGTAGTAGTAGGTTCTGAAAAAATAAAATAAACTATACTTTCTTCAAGGGCATTTCAATAATCAAATATTTCTGAATTCCGAAATATATTAGGGGTTCAAGCTTGTACAGAATGACTAGTTTCATGTTGAATTTGATATGACTTAATGACCAAAATAGACATAGATGGACGAGCTATTTCATAAAGGATAACGACATATAAAATTATATCATATAATAATTTTTTGAGCTTTTCCATATGCTTTTTTTAATTTTGAGCCAACTTTAACTGTTCAAATCATTAGACATGTTTAAAACTTCCATTGATTTTCTGAAATTTTCCAAAAGAATTCCGAAATATATAAGTTCCGAATTTGAATGGATGTTGAAATTCTGAAATTTTTGGAATGGAATTGGAATAGCTAGGGCATTTGTTCTTCTATGACTATACCG